ATGGTTTCATGATACTCCCTACGCTACAAAATAGCTATGGAGCTAGTTCATAAACCGTAATTATCTTTGCATATGGAAACATATGCATGTGGTGACAAAGATACACTTACACTTCAAATATTAGCATGACACATTTTAATGCTCAGATACATGTAAGCAAGTATCATACAGTTAAATGAACAAACTGGGATAGTTTCAAGAGTCAGAGTTGTTAATAAATCCACTCAGTCAACAGGCATAGACTAGGGCCGTTCTGGACAGACATAGGGTCACCTTATATACAGCTGAAGTTCAAATAGCAAAAATGAAGGAACCCATTATAATAAAACTCACATGAGGTTTGGGGCCAAGGACAAAACACTATTTTGGAAAAAAAAAATTTTTTTCCAGCAAGATAACCGAACCTTGGCAAACAGATAAACTTCTTGAACTTTATGAAACCTTTGTAATGATGCAAATTCTGTGTGCATGTGCATTTTTCTAGAAAGGGGCCCTGTTTCTATCATATTTTCAAAGGTGTGCATAATCTGAAAGAATCAATAACTTTTTAAAAACACCTTTTCTACTTTATTGTTTCTTATCACAACCTATTTTTGGGGGTTTGAGGATTCTCCAAAGTCATGTGGTAATAACAAAATCTTAAAAGGTAACAAAATTTCAACACTTCCTGTCAATCTCCTGCCAGGGATACCAATTCTAGACAGTGAAAACTCCAGACATTAAAAAAAAAATTTGCCTCCCTCTCCTGAATTATGCGCTTTACTAATTCATTGCATAGGCATACTTTTTAAGGGTCAGTATTTCAAAACCACTCCATTTCACTATCTACCACATAAAATCGTAGTTTCCTTTAAAGGTTTCCTCTTACCAATTTATTCCTCAGTGAATAACGTGGAAATGATATGAGGTACTAAGATTATATGTGACATTAATGCCAAGCAAATGCTGCCTAAAGCACGTTTTATATAACTGCAAATAAAAATGCTAAAAAAACACCTGCTGAATCTTGCATTTTAACCTCCTCCACTTAAAAAACAGGGTCCTCATTACAATCCTGAGCTTCCAAAGGGATGAAAAGGCTGACCTTCCAGTTGATTCCACCAGCCCTATTTCCAGTGAAAGGCCTGCATATGAGATAAACTTGGAAAGAGGGGATGGGCAACAGAGAAAACTATCAGACGACTGGTTTCAAGTTCAAGTTCTTTATACATGGCCTGAAACTGTGGTCAGCTCTCCACGGTAAGCAACACACAAGGTTTACTTTCTTTCTTAATGTGAATGTTGCCAGAATACACATGTACTTTTACTTTCTTAGGAGAAAATGTGTCATTTGATTTCCTTCCAGTTTATGTCCTCGTGCCAACAACTAAAATGCTTAAAGAACCCAAATGAATTACTACCCAGAAACGGTGGTCAAAGTTCCAAAATGTGATCAATAAAATTGCTCATCTACTCACAAATTAATCTTCAGCCAGTAAAATTACACATTTTCGAGGTTATGAGCACACCTGCGCTGTTAAGCATTTATTTCACTTGTTTTAGCAGTCTTCAGAAGTAGATAAATATTTATAAAAGCAAGCCTTCTATTTTTACTCACATACAATTTTCTTCTTGCGGCAAAACCTGGTTAATTCTTTCACAGTTCAAAAGCATCCTGCAGGCAGGGTCTGTCTCCTAGACAGGTCTGCATCTCTGATCACCAGCCTGATGTCCCACAAGTTGTAGCTGTTTCACTAACATTCGCTGAGTTGCATTTAATTAATTCAGATCCTTCTGAGGCTGAATTTATGATGGGGACAATTTCCAATTTTCACTCATACCATTCATAAAAAAATTTGCAAAGCAAATTAATAGACCAAATAAGGAGCTATTTAGGTTCCTAAGTAGAATATTTTTCCAGAACTTCAGAAGCAGTATCTGTACGCGATTCATGTCTTCACGATAAACTACAATGTCACCCAAGAACACGACCAGCTCAGATTTAGTTCAGTACGTGTATCTGCAAAAGAGTGTCATGTCTCGCTTATTTACTCTCATTTTGCTGAAATTAGTCCAAATCAATGATGTTTGACTACATTTTGTGATCTCTGTCGAGTAACCACTTATAACCTCCTCTTAACTTTCCATTTTCTTTTGTTTGTATCGTCAGCCTGTGAAACTGGAGAGCGCTGCCAAACATAAAGCAGGGAAGTGTGAGATTTGCTTAAAATATGAGTCACAGTATATTTGGGGATTTGGGTTTCTCTCTTTTTTTTCCTCAAGCTATCAGCAGATAAAATCCTTCTTCCCTGTCAAGCCTTCCTCTGTGTGGAAGATCTGAAATTCACTGAAATAGATCTAGGTAGGAAGGGTAAAGAGATCAGAGAGGAGCACTGTTAAGATCTGCTGCAGGATTTCCCTTTCATGTCAGAGCCACTCTGGCTGAGATGCCCCAGCAAGGACATGGCTCGGCAAGACATATTTGAATGTGAAGGTTATTCCTTCCATGAATCACTAAGTCTACATATGTATTTTTACAGCAAGGTAACATGCCATGTGGCCTTGGTTAGTAAAAATTTTTCCTGTTTGTGGAAGGCCAGGCAATCGAATAAAACTACGTGAATCTGCATGACCCTACCAGGCAGCTGAGGAGACACAGACTATTATTCACAGGTGTGTACACACACACACAGGTCAACCCCTCCCCCTGAATCAACTCTTAAAATTGGTCTAAATTCTTTGCTTGTCAATTCTTCCACTGAAGGGGCAGGAAAGGACTCAAAACATCGTCTTTAGCTAATTCGGCATCCAACATGGCCCCCTTGTCCCGCGCTTTTCCTACAGACTGAAGCGCTCAGCAGAATGTGTTAGGCTGGTTTTGATACTGTCCCTTGCCAAGAAAAACAAAGCTCTCTGTGTCACACTCTCCTGGTGGCGAAAAACCTTGCAACAGGCAAGAAGGGGAAAATGTCCTCCAAAGGAAATCCCCTAAAACTTGACTTCATATATTTAGCCCTAAAGGAACTTCATTCACCTTGCTCATCTAAAAAGGCCTTATGTAATAAAAAAAAGTAAATAGAAAATAAGCCTGGTCTAAAAATACAACTCAACACTTAAGAGCAGTTCATCGGACCATTTTTGTGTGTCCTTTTTAAAATGATCTCCAACCAAAACACTACTGTATGTAAAATTTTGTGCCCCCCCCACAATAATATATGGTTATTTTCCCAATGCATTCGAGGTCTGATAAATTCAAGAGGAGTCATAGTATTTTTAAGGCTGTGAGAGCTCTGAGGGGGAGGCAGAAAGAATGGACAGTCATTTGAATCACTGAGTGACAGGCTGGGCGAGCTCCCTGTATACATTAATAAATTAGAATTTTAATTGTGTCTCTGTCTGCAGGAGATGCCCCAGTACTTTAATATGTACCAACAATTGGCTATGTTCTGGAATCTGCAATGTGGCCTCCACTGCTGACCTCTGAAACACAATTCCCAGTCTGACTACGGAAACTGTTCAGTTTGATCCTTTCAACTTATTTGAATCCTGACAAATAAGCTCACAGCTGAAAGGTCAACACAGTCATATTTCATCCTCCAGAGCTGTTCTTAAGACATCGGCACAACAAAGCACTGCTTATAGCACCTGACATGGGGCCTCAGTGGCACTGGACCTCATTAAAAATGTCCCCGGCATTCATACTCACAAAAAGGCATGTGGGTTGGCGGTGGTTCTCCAAACCACTGCTTTTAGAAGTGTTAGGAATCAATGCACACCGTGATTCAACTGTGCCAAGAAAGTGCCTCTACATCATGCTGAATGTGCCCTAGACAGTGACAATTTACAGGCAGATGTAGAAGAACTAGAACGTGTGTCCAAGGTCAAGTTTGATCTTTGTAGGATAATTTAGGGACTGGTACACTGGTTCTCTCTGATCTGAAAAAAGTCAACCCAAGCTAGATTCTGGGTTGACCTTGTGGTCATCTTAATCAGAATCAAGTTATACCCACCAGCTCCCACTTGTAAATTCTTTTCCAGAATGTTCAGTGTGGGAAACTCAATACTGCTTCCCATTTCGGGGGCTGCCCACTCTTAACTCTGAAAGTAGTGTTGAGCTGCCTGGTATTTGCAAGCGTCTTCCCTGTCCTGCATGTGAGCACAGATACTCTGAGTTAAGTTTCTCTAATGTCTATGACCAGTTTCTGCTTCAAGTCAAAGACGGAAAGAAGATATTTGTGAACTCACTCCTTCCACTCTGCTAACTCCTGTCCTTAAAGCTTCTGAAATGAGAAGCTGCTAGTCTTTACATACAGACTGCTTGCTGATTTTTACTAATAATTTAGAAATGTCTGAGAAACATCCACGGAAGAACAGAGGATGTATTACACTCATTACTAGGTGTATTGAAAATACTCTATCTTCCTCAAGCCAAATAAGTTCTTGACAATATTAACTACTGACTAGTTTTCTCTTGTAGGAGGCTGTCCTCTACATTGCAGGAGGTTTACCAGTACTTTCAGCCTCTCCCTCCTGGGATGCCAGCAGCACCCATTCCCCCCCAAGATGTGGGAAAAAAAAAGTTTCTAGACGCTGCCCACTGTCCTTTGAGGGGTAAAAGCAATCCAGTTGAAAACCACTGCACTGAAGCAACATGCGTGTGTGTCCCAGTTCTAGACAGATCACGAGAGAATGAGTGACATATGTGAGTACTAGGAACTTTTCCCCATTGGTAAGCCACACAGCCTAACAAGCCACCCATGCCAACAACTAGTCAGCCATCGATTAAATTGTCTCATTAGATTTTCTTACTCCCAACAAAAAAACTGTTGGTTGAACAGACATTTTTCTTTCCAAAGTGTCGTGCTCTACTGTTTAACAAACACACACAAAAACACACTTTTCCTTTGCAGAAGATTTCCTTACATGATTTGCAATTCTCAACACAATACACTTCTGAATGGTTTATCAGCTATCCCAAAGGGTATAACATCAACTTAAAAAACAATAAGACTTTTACTTACCTGAAGGGCTGGCTGCTTGTCATTCCTCTTGGGAGACTTTAACCCACTAACTTGCTGCTGCTGTTGCTGATGGAGAAGAAGCTGTCTTGCCACTTGAAGTGCCTGGAAGGAAAAATAAAAGGAAAACATTCATGCTACTACACAGGTTCAGGGTCTCCTTCACAAAAAGGGATTCCAGGAAGGACACATGAGGATGAGATCTTGACTCTTCCATTTCCTGGCAAATAAAACAGCAAATCAAACGTCCCATCAGTCTAAGTTGCAAAACTTTGCAGAATTTGGATACATTTTCTTGGAGTTTGCCAATTTCATCCACAATTTCTTGGGCATAGCAATCCATCTGCACAGACATTTGATTAATACCATAAATCTGACATGCAATGTAGAGTGTTAATGCCTGGGACATGGAGAAAAGAGGGCAAAGAGACGCCACAAAGGAGTAGGGCAAAGTCAGGAATTTCAGAGACACTAAAGGGCTCTTTTCAAAGGTACCTTCCTCCTTCTCCAATTCTTCTTGAGGGAGCTTGGGAACTCAAGTTGAAAGTAAATACTTTCACCCCATCTGAGTCCAAATAAAAAGGAAAAGCTAAGTAAGTGGTGGACCACCCTGCAGATAAAGGTATTTGTGAAGGAAGATCAAAACGAGGTGACCTTGATGGACTATGTAAGAAAAAAACTTAAGCCAGTCTGACCTCTAAGTCAGCTCAAAAGCTACCTTATACACCTGTGAACAAAATTGTGCTGAAAACAAATGGGTCTTTTGAGTGTATACCATGGGCTAGTTTTTACTTAAAGGTAGAAACTGGGGAGGTGCTAGCAATTGGAGCTAATGCCAGAAGGAAAAAAGGAGATTCCTCCACAGGGCAGAATACATGACTGAGCAATCTTTTCTAACGTTCAAATAAAGGGACTTCTCTGGTGGTCCGGTGATTAAGACTCCATGCTTCCACTGCAAGGGGCGTGGGTTAGATCCCTGCACAAGAAACTAAGATCCCACAGGCTGTGTGGCCAAAAACTAAAACAAACAAACAAACAAACAAAACAGGTACTATTAAAAAAAAGCTCAAATAAAAAAAGAAAAATACATCACCAATAAACCTTTGTGAGGTCATTCACTGACAAAGGATTTATTAGGAATAACATCTAGCTCCACCTTTCCAAAGAGGACAGCAGGACTGGCAACAGAAACCAAAAGTTTGCAGACCTTTCGCTAGAAAATCACATGGCAAGTTAGGCCATCCCAGTCAATTCAGCTGAGAACCAAGAATGTGCGCATGCACAAGATGTTGAGAAGGTCTGTCAAATGATGTGCTTGGAGTTTAGAGAGAGGATAAGATTCACTGGGGATTACATCAATAATCGTTTCTACATGATAATTATTCGTGCCTGGAAGATTCACACACAGATGCGGTCCACGTATCAAAAAGATCTGACACTATCATCTTAGAAAGTGTGAAAAATGGGCTTATGATGGGAGTACATTTTTCAAAGAGGAATAGATGTCATTTACATAAGAAAACAGTGTTTACAGTTCCAAGAAAAGTTAGAGTGACACAGGGTGCAGTGGGGGAATGCAAGATGGTGTGGGACTTCCCATGAAGTCAACTCAGGGGAGGGGCAATGCAAGTGGTCGGGATATATGCTCATGAAAAGATTACTAAAAATGTTTAATCAGCAAGAGGAGTACTTCTTCTCAAAGGACAATCTCACTACACTGAGTTTATGACTGTAGTGTGGTCATAAAAAATATTTTTAAGATGCTAAGGAAGGTTGTACAGTGCCTTTGTGTCTAAGAGGTGCAGAGGGAGGCAATGAAATGGAAGCACAGATAAATCAATGGCTGACAAAGAAAAGATCCTGGGAAAGATGGACCCCTCCTGTCCCAGCTTCCTACTGCACCCACCCTTACTGTCCCTTCAGCAGCCTTCCGTCTAGTGAACTCACCACAACCAGCCCTTCGGATGGAGTGGACGGGCTACTGCGTCTGGGAAGGGAGAGACATGTTCGAGAAAGACTGCCTGCAAGAGCCTCGGGAAGAGAGGCTGTCTGAGAGGGGCATCTGGAAGCCAAGACGCCTGGGAGAGTTGCCTGAGACTCCAGCCTGCTGTCTCTGAGGAGGATTCACCATCACTGGACTCCGGGTTTCCTTGTCTCCTTGGAGACGCTCAGTACATGCGTAGGTGTACCAGTGGGCAGAGTGAAGATTTCATTTATATCATATAAGAAAAATAGTCCCCACTGCAAGGTGCCTGCAGGAGCAAGAACCCCTCCTCCTCCTATATATGTCCCCTTAGTTATTTCACATGAAGGTTTTACTGCTTTTTAATGTAGGAAAGGGAAGTGTTATGTATTTTAATTGCTACCGTCAGAGTTCCCAGAGTAGTAGACTGGTAAGCAAAGAAGGGTCTGGCTACTAGTTGGAAAGGCAGACAGAAGGTGTGGAGATGAATATGAAAAGAACGTGCAGAGAAAGACGTGGTGGGGAAGAGGAGAAAGGTAAGGTCCATCTAAGATCAAAAGAGAGCAAGCCAAGAAAATCAGAGTAATGGCAACTCCAGAGCCACAAATATTTGTTAAAATAATTTACCATGTTTCATCAAATACTTGGAGAGCTGGAATTTGATTTTCAAATACTCAGTTCTCAGAGAATCTACACAATAAGCTTCTCATTTAAGCAACAGGCATACTATTAAGTGTCCTTAAAAAAAGTGCATACACACAAAGAAACTATTCTGATATGAGCATGTTCTCATAAATGCACTTCAACAAAAGAAAGCATAGGACTCAAAGTTAAATTTTTAACAAATGTTTACTGAGCTGGCTCTATACATCTCAAAATTAGCTACTGGAATCCTTGCAATTTTCCTGCTGGGAAGAAGGGAAAAGTCATTTATGTGTAGAACATAGTTTTCAGACCCAACATGGGATGTATCGAATTACATAGTCACGTAAAGAGCGCCAGCCTTTTCACAGCATTTCAGACAAAAGCCCCAGCAAAGAAGAGAATTAAAGATAGAAGCGCAGGAACAGAAAAGACTGAGGGCCTTGTATGAACATGAAGGAAATTTCAGTCAAACTACTCAAGAGAGAACAAATGATGAAGACGTGTAATGCACGCATTCATGCTAAGTCACTTCAGTCGTGTCCGACTCTGTGACCCTACGGACTTCAGCCCACCAGGCTCCTCTGTCCATGGGATTCTCCAGGCAACAATACTGGAGCGGGCTGCTGTGCCCTCCTCCAGGGGATCTTCCCGACTCAGAACGAACTCGCATTTCTTGTGTCTCCTGTACTGGTGGCTGGGTTCTTTACCACTGGCACTATTGGGAAGATCCCCTGGAAAAGGAAATGGCAATCCACTCCAGTATTCTTGCCTGTAAAATCCCATGGACAGAGGAGACTGGTGGGCCACAGTCCATGGGGGTCACAAAAGAGTCAGACATGGCTTTGCAACTAAACAGCAGATTTCATCCTCAAAATGCAAACAAACAGGGAAAACAACTTCAAATATTGGAATGGAGAGACAACGCTAGTGCAAGGAATTATTTATCTTGATATGAACTGTTATGAATTATCCCATAATAATTCCCTGGCCTCCTCATCAGTATGAGGACAAAGCTGGGGCAAAGCACTAATATTCCACACCCTTCAAAAAAATCAACCGAGGTCTCAGCCACAATGTGAAAGCCTGATTTATTAGAACTTATAAAGTGCTATGAAATCAATCATTAAAGGGCATTTGCTTTTCTGATTCCTATGCTATTTAAATCACTGTAATCCGGGTTTTAAATCACCAAAAAGAAGATAAATAAATCCTTTGTGTGTGAGACTATGTATTTGACATTATCATCATTATCATATGAGTCCCCAGTATCTACCATGTGTAGAGAGTCTAAGATGCTTACTGTCATAGTCTCTGTCAGAAAAAAATGGGAATTACAGGTGGAATCTCCTTTGGAAGCTGCATCAGAGACCTGGATGCATCGCAGACCCACATATGCTGACTTGATAGTGAATTTTACCTGTTCCATGCACCAAAATCATGAAAAGCAGATTCATGTCTTTCATCTCAGATTCTACTGCTTGAACCTCAGAGATGTGTCCCAACACAGCTAAGAAATGAGGATGGATTTTTAACATTTTTATAATAGCATCTCAATCGTGACTGAAGAAAGGTCTCTTAAGACATATTGTTTCAAGATACAAGTAGATTCTTTGGCTTCCAAATAAAGATACACATAGCTACTGTGTGTGTGTGTGAGAGAGAGAGAGAGAGAAAGAGACAATATGAATAAAAACTTGTAAAACACTGGGATCAACTGTGACTCAAGTTGCAGACCTACTGTTAGTTTAAGTAACTTAAAAGGTCCCATACAATCTCTGGAGACCTTTTACTCTTGGTGGCAGTTTCCTGGGCTGGGTTAAGTCAACACTTCCTTTAGAACAGATGTGAAAATTCCCTGACCCTGGATAATGTGGTGCTGTACTTGATGGCCAGGCTTGTGGGTTACAGTAAAGATACAGTTTGAAGACGTCAGCATGGAGGCAACTGATAAAGCCAGCCACTTACAGCCCAGCTGCACACAATCCTATTTATCATTCTTCAAAAGCTAAAACCAATCACCTTGAGAGTTAACAGCAGCAGAAGACATACACTGCCTCCCTCTCTTTCTTGGCTGCCATCGAGGCCTCAACCTGTTGGAGTCGCCTTGTGGTAAGCACGCCGTAGACCACAGCCTACGCTGGGCACAGAGAGACAGGGAGATTGGTACTGGGTTGTGAGTTTGGTAGCATGCTAGTGAGTTTCATCCTAACTGGGGACCTGGACAGTTTTGATACATTGTTCATTCTTTTGGTTCCAGATGACTTCATTCTCATCACTGCCTCCCATTTCTAGTAAATAAGTGCCATCTGTTATTTACAAATTACATTTTACATAAGCAAGTTTGCCACTTTTGAGCTATTTACATCTCGAGTTCATAGCAGGTGCTTATATTTGGGGGTGAGGCATCCTATGAGGTACACTATGTTTAGCTTGTTGATCAAGGTAGATGATATTCAAAAACATGTTTACCATATTTTACAAAACACCAATGTGTTTA